CTGTCATTGATACAGATACCACTGTGTCCCTATACCTACTCAGGCAATAGTATTATAGGGCCTAATAATATCTATTATTATTTATGTTATTTGTCTTTCAACAGGACTGGAGCCACCATTGCACAGACTAAACCAGTCAACTCAGGCAGCAGACTTTCCTTGTAATGAAAAGGAGCCAGGGTTCAGTTTATCCCATATTTTGCTAAAAGTGCAGATATAAGTTCTTGGCCCTCAGATTCCAAGTCTCTGACATAAGGCAATATTATTGCTGCTCTGTCTCAAATATATTTGTCTGGGGAATACATTCAAATATGCTGTTGGAAAGTGTAATGACCATTTGACTGTGATCACAGTCAAATGGTCATTACACCTCCCTCCCTCCCTCCCTCCCTTCTTCCCAATAGCAAAACATAATATATTGCACATACAGCCCAAAGATCAGCCTCCTAGTCATGTACTCTCATTAATTACCTTGGCCCCAGGCTAAAGAATGTCTCTTGTTAAGATTTTCTGCCACCAAACAGGTTGTTCTCTAGCCTGAGGCCAAGGTGATTAAAACCTGCCCTACAGTGAAATAAATAAAATTAATATGATTTTTTTTTCAGGTCATACCATTTATCCCATGATAGTTTTGTTTAACTATTCAGGAGGAAATTGTATACAGTTTGTTGTTGTACTGAGAACTCCTGGGGTGAAAACATCAGAGAATGTACTATGCAAAAAGTACCTTTTCAGCCCAGTTTCCATTCAGAAGGTAGCAAAGTATGAGAAATTATAATAAACATCAACAGTGTTATGCCTGCTAAACATTATTCTCCAAAACACTTATTGTTCTTTGCATCTTTTGTCTGTCTGAATATAATATTTCAACAAGTTGTATCAAGCAAAAACAAACCCTCCTTCCCTCCTTCCCTCCTTCCCTCCTTCCTTCCTTCCTCCCCAATAGAAAAAATTAATATGTTGCACATACAGCCCAAAGATCAGCCTCAGTTAGTCATGCGCTCTCATTAAGATTTGGATGGAGTCCAGTCAACATTTAGACTATTGCCACTTTCCTGCAAACCTCGGGGATATTGGTCTACATAGAGTCTTTGAATCCATGTGCCTATACACGTGGTCTTCCATCTCATGATGTTCAGAGGCATCAGAGTTAACTCTTGCTTATCTGCTGTGACATGAGAGACACCTTATTCCACAGAAATAAATGTGACTGCACCATTTATTTCCAAAATGCTGAAAGACAACTTGGTCCCAGTGAGAAAAAAATGGTGGGAAGAAGACCCACTTCTGGGAAGGTCTGGGCTACGTCTCCCTAAACCATGCACTGTTTAGATTTATTTTTTTTTTTTTTATCTGCGCTCAGTCGTTACCGACTCTGCAGTGACTGCTTGGACGA